AACCCTTGAACATATTTACCATGTTTCAACATGTTTGATGAATACAGAGTCATGATCCTAGAAACACGAAAAGTCAACATTTCAGCTACCATGGTCATGATGGTTACTGCCTTCGTCAAACGTCATCACGTCCTCAGTGGCTAGGCAATGAACATATTGAATATTGTTCAGCTTTGACATGCTTGACTTGTCAGTTAAATACTTTCTGTTTATCATGTTTTTCACAATGATAATAAGAAATGAAACTATGCTGAAATGAATAAATGTTTGTGTATCAGAATGATCAGATCTTCACTGGTCAGTAATCAGAAACAATATGTCCCCTGCACTCCATGGTTTTGTGGAGAGATAATAAATACAGGTTATTTTACTAGCGCTTCAAACACTTGCAACAGACAACATCTTTACAAACATCGCATCTTAGATTATTGCACTTATATTGCAACCTGTGTGTGTGTGTGTGTGTGTGTGTGTGTGTGTGTGTGTGTGTGTGTGTGTGTGTGTGTGTGTGTGTGTGTGTGTGTGTGTGTGTGTGTGTGTGTGTGTGTGTGTGTGTGTGGAGATACCATGCCGCACAAGTCAGGATAACAACAAGTACCATCTTTTAACGTCTTTTGGTATGACGCGGCTTGGGATTGAACCCCAGACCTTCCGCTCTCCGTGTGGACTCTCTACCACTAGACCACGGAGGCGGTCTACAAACATGACAAAGAAGAAGATGCTGCAAGCTAAACAGTGTCCTGACAATTCATTTCTTACTTACCGTATATGACCGCGGATAAGCCGACCCCGTAGATAAGCCGAAGTGTTAACTTGACCATTGAAATACGAAAGAAAATGATATGACCCGCAGATAAGCCTAACCAGTAAGTGAAAACACTGCGAAACGGACTGCAAGACATGTGCCGTTACTCGCAGATATTCAATAATATAAGAAGAAAAACGTTGTAATCATATTGAAAAAGTCATTATTATTTCTAATAAAGACTTAACAAACCAGTCATCCACTTTCATAATGTCGGAAGCTGAGTAGTAACATTTTCTCTCCTTACAAGGAACAGAAAAGCATTATTGCAATGTATAGGATCACATATACCTTATAGATATACAACTAACATAAATCTGAACACTGTCATTGCCAAAACTTCTGACAATGATAATTAAAAGCAAAATAGATTACTTCTTGTTGAGTGGAAAATCCTTAAATAACATTAAAGCAAGGTAATAGTGCAACAGGCCTTCTGAGACCTTCAAGCTGATACATGTATTTTACAGTTACCATGGTTACAATACCAATACAATTACAAAAAGTAAAATATAATATAAATAATGTGAAGATACATCAATTAGTTCATGAAACATTTGTCTTCAAGCATGTTAAGATTTTTTCTGATAAATTTAATAAATAACTTTAACTTGATTTCGACGTCAAACATGGCCAGGAATGAAGTTTCATGCGTGCTCTTAGTAATCATGAATAAATAAGGTAAACATAACAAAAAACTACTACCTTCACACTCCTTGTCCCTGAGTGAGTGAGTGAGTATGGTTTTACGCCGCTTTTAGCAATATTCCAGCAATATCACGACGGGGGACACCAGAAATGGGCTTCACACATTGTACCCATGTCTGGAATCGAACCCGGGTCTTCGGCATGACGAGCGAGTGCTTTAACCTTTGGGCTACCCTACCGCCCCCCTTGTCCCTTACAACCAAATACAGACCATTAAAGTTTAAAGTACGTCCAAATAGTTCAGCAACCATTTCCATAAAAAAGAACAAGACCTAATCAATTTAAGCAAATAGACAATCGCAGTGATTGCTAATAACGTGTATGATCAACTGAGGAAGTGGTCCATGCATGTATGCATCAGTCAGTGTACAGGTGGAAGAGGGGGGGCTGTGTGTACCAACTGAGGAAGTGGCCCATGCATGTATGCATCAGTCAGTGTACAGGTGGAAGAGGGGGAACTGTGTACCAACTGAGGAAGTGGTCCATGCATGTATGCATCAGTCAATGTACAGGTGGAAGAGAGGGGACTGTGTGTACCAACTGAAGGACGTCAAGATATATTTATTTTATTTGCTAGTTGTAATCCTGGCAATTTAAAAGTAAACAAACATAGAATATTATTATGTATGCATATACACTTGATAAAAAGAAAAATGATGTTCCTTACTTGCCTAAATTGTATTAGAGATTGTACTGTGTTTGTTTTCTGTTTTAGTGGTATGTCTTTTAAGCTACATGACCAATTGTAAAAACAAACAGAAGTTGGCATATGATGTTTTTTCATTATGATATCTTTCTAATTTGTATATTTATATGATTTAGCTAGTACAATGTGTATGTGAAGAAAAGAAAGAGGCCATTACTTCCGAATAAAGAATCTGAATGTGAAACCCACACCAAATCCCAAATGTCTGTTTGGATAAAGATGCATTTAGCATGTTTCAATAATATTTTCAGCTAGATTAAATTTTAAAATTAAATGTCAAGTTTCTATTGTTGAGTACCCTATTTTCAAACAACACCTATAATCAAACAGCCGTATTTGATATTGATTTGTCGCATTATAGGGAGAGGTGTGATGTCATCAAAGTTGCCGACTTGAGAATGCATGCATTCAGCTTGTCAACATTGAGTACATGTGAAGTACTGCACACAAGTCAGAACATTCCATCGTCATTCAGACTTTTGGTGCCCGTGTCATGATGAAAAGGAAGAGTAAAATAGTGTGAACACAATCATGTGACAAATATTCATAATTTGTGAACAGGTTTCAAACTATCAATCACTTTTAGAGTTTTAATGCCGACCTGCGAGAATTATGTTGAGGACTGTGCGCCAAAACATGTCTCTTCATTCAAGAAAACCCCGCTAAAGTATGAAATCGGGTGTTCGACAATCGGTGGCGTCACTCAAGTGCAGCAGAAGTTTACAAATGAGGTAATGGAGGTCACGCCTTTTATCGAGGAGTTTTCTTTCGGAATGTAACTAAATTCTGTTGTTGAAGACATCACCTACTGGTATGAAGCAGAATTTGAGTTTTGATTCACTCATCCATCGAAATATCAGCAATGCCATCTTAAAGGAGCACTGATCTAAAGCAATTCCCCGGGACTGATTGTTGCCTTTGTTATTGTTTTTTCACTGTGAGTACCCGGATGATACGCAACGCAGCTGAGCGTGACAAGAGACTGGGCTACCGTCTGCAAGGACAGCTAAATAAACGTGGAGGCAATATTTGTTTTATTCATTTTTGAACACTGATTGGTTGACCGTGGTCTATAAAGATTTCGACAAAGGGCGCATGTTAATTAATTTCTTCAGCCTAAACAAACAGACGAAAAGAACGGCGGAGCTCATTGGATGTCGCCATTTGGAAATACCCCTGATTGTTATAGTTGAATAATAAAAAAAAGTATCCATGCAGTGAAAGCCTTTTCGGATTTCGGATTGCGTCGATAATACGATTGCTACTCCCTTGTTGTCATCCCTGTTCCGGGTATAACCCTACACTTGTGTATTTGTAGCCATTCACTTGATGCTCAGTTAATGAATTTATTACAGGTATAATTAGTGGTAGCACCACTCAGAATACCTGACAAAGGTTCTCATTTGGCATTTATTGTCACAATAGATTATTATGTAGGATTAGAAGCCAAACAATATAGAAATGTACTTTTCATCGTAACATTTTCAGTCTCTTGGTGTTGATATTAAACATATAAATGTTTTGAATTCGTTGTCATAATAGTACAGATGAACATATTTTTCAGTCAATTTGTAAAATAACTGAATATTCAGGCGTTTAATAAATTTCCTAAGTGAAAATTTTGCACCATTTGACTGTAAAAATATAAGCACGATAAAATAAGCAATGCTCAGGAGAAATATTTACTTTTTTACTAATTTGTGTTGCAAGTCAAAATAGTGTAAATGAAAATCGCACAATAACCAAGCAAGTGACATATCAAAACTTCGTCACCATTACCGATGCTACCCACAAAGATACCTACATTTTCTTATTATTTCAAAAACTGTATTTCATTTTGTTGATCAATGTGACAATATGCCCTCATACATGTACTATCAATGAAAGTGACAAATGCACTTACGAATTGCGCAGCACTGGTCGCTAACTAGTCTACGTTTCTGCTATATCATCCGGGTACTCACGAGAAAAAACAATAACAAAGGCAACAACCAGTCCCGGAGAATTGCTTTAGATCAGTGCCCCTGTAACCAGTCAGGGTGGCCTCTTTGGGATGTGGATGTTTAACTATTTGAAAATAGGGTACATCAGGATAAATAAGTATTTAGCTTATTTTCAAATTAAATGTCAAGGCTTCATTGACACTTCCATCTTGATTACAAAGTATAAGTATGAAAAGTCCAAGTTTTCCATTTAAGTATTACAAATAGGTTTGGATCTAATGTGATTGTGTACCATCAAACGCCACTGTTCAAAGGGAAGCAACTCTAGGTACCTGCACATGGATTAACTCGCAAACAATTCAACCGAATAATTGTGAAGTAGGCAACCAGAAGATGCAAGGATCTATTTTGATTAGAAAGCGACAGAAGAAGATTACATGGGGCAAATATATTCCGAAAGATGCAAAGCTTTCGCAATCTGTATCAACAAAATATTCGGTTATATTCATAACAGTTTATCATGTTTATAGTTTTAACCAAACGAAAATAACTTGTCTGAACATGCTTCCTGGACGAGAGGGAATGTGAATAAGCAAATACCAGTTAAAAATTGAAAATCTAGGCCCCTTTAATTACATTGCTATTCTACACCTTTGCTTAGATTACAACATTCTTCATTTAGAACAAAATTTAAGAACCAAACCATAGCTGGTGTGTCACAACAGGTCGATGTCAAACGTGCGTTGTCAATCGGCTGATAAGTGGTTGGGGCATAAAGCATACCCAAAATCATAATGCGCCAATTTCAATCATGAAATATTATCAAAACGTTGCTTACCTACTACAAGATCACAGTCTCCAAATTCTTCGCGAATATCTGAGATATGTAATTCGCATTTTTTACGTGCATGTTTATGAAAGTTTCAAAAAGACCACCATGTTGACATCGGAAGTTACTACTGCGCATGTTCGAATTTAGAGTTATCCCCCCTACTTGGAAATTCCCTAATCTATAAAAAAAAGAATTCAGTCGCACGTGTCGATATTCAGGCTGTCTCAAGTTTTCTCATTTTCTCAGGAGTTGTCATTCGAGACACTCGCTGATTATAATTAAAAACTTTAAACAGAAGACAAACACCTGAAAATGTTACTTTATACTCACTTATTCCAAAGCCATGTATAAGGTGTAATATGTCTAGTGGCAGTTCGCAGTCAATATCTTGACAGTAGTGGACGGATCACGCCATGTCACTCGATCCTGCCTGTTGAACCAGTCACTGTATTTACCCCTTGACATTAATGATGATCTGCCTTCTTCTACAGAAAGACCCACTGGAGAACTTAATCAACCAATCACTGATCAAGAAGTTTTATTTAATACACTAAATGCAGCAAAAAAGAAATCACCAGGACCAGATGGTGTGGATGCTGAATTTTTAAAAGCTTCTGGGCACCATACTGTACCTTATCATACCCACCTTTTTAATCATATTTTTGAAAGTGTTAAGATTCCCCAGTTGTTTGGATAAGAGTATTTTATGTCCTCTCTTCAAGTCTATCGGTGTGAGAAACATAATATTATTAATTAACAAGCTGGTTTTAGGGCTCATTACCCCACTATTCACAACATTGTTTCGTTTAACACAGGCTATATTTAAAAAAATACACTGGTAAGAAAAGGGGCAGATTTTACTGCCACTTCATTGAGTTTTCCAAGGCATTTGACACTCCAAGACATGACGTTCTGCTGCGCTCATTGTGGGGAGTTGGTATAAGCGTAAATGTTATATAATCACATCAATATATAATAATTTACCTGCTTGTGTTAGAACCTCTAAAGGTATATCTAGGTGTTGAACCCTTTAACATTGGCACCTGTCAAGGATGTGTTTTAAGTCCACAAACATTTATTACATTTTTAAACAAGTTATGTACCTTTATGGAAAGAGGGATTTGGATTTGCCGGATTAGTCAGGAAATAGGAAACCAAGTAGCCATCACTGCACTGTACGCAAAGATTACGTGATAATCTCTTTCAGTCATGGAAAGCATCCTTACATGCAAATCATAAGTGTTTGAATATAACCAGTTTAAATCAGTATTGAAATATATTCAAGCATAGGTGACCCTCCACAACAATAAAGAACATTCTATTCTAGATTTAAATGTTGCAATTTCAACTTGCTGTTGAGACTGGCAGATATGAAAAAAAAATTTAAAATGAAAGACACTGTATGTCATGCAAGCTTAAAGGCTATCTTTCAGCTGAAGATGAGTTGAACATTTATATGTATGTCACTCCTACTCTGAATTGAGAAACATGTTCATTGTAAAATACTTTAGTAAATATCCTACAATCAACAATTGTAATTCTATCATGCAGAGTAAGAACATTGATGTTATCAGAAATGTCTGTCTATTGCATTTGCTATATATCACGTAAATATAAAAAGAAACCCCAAATTTAAATATGATATAAAATGCGCATGCATGATCATGCTTTTGTATGTGTTTTGGTCCGGAGGCCTTATGCTGAATAAAAACTGTCTGTCTCTCTGTCTGCCTGTAGGTATGTGTGTCTGTCCGTCTGTCTGACGACATCATTATTTTCTTTTGAAAATGGAGTTTGGTCGAAGGTTTTAAACATGTAAATACAAATAGGTCGAGTTTGCCGCCTCGGTCCCTGTGTCTACAGAAAGCTCGACCCTTTCGTGTATTTAGATTCATAACTCTTATAAAAATAAATTTCCAAAGGAAAGGTTTGGCCCTTTTCAAAGGAAATATAATGGCTTTGAACAAGAGGCATACAAATGTCCACGATATTGCACTCTGAGGGAGCTTCAACATCAGTATTGGACTTTGTAGAATATCATAAAAGCGTGAATCAGCTTTATATTATAGACCACAGAAGCTTGAGAAACAGCTCATGATATGGGCGTATCATGATCACGTCAAAGGGTTAATCGATATTGGGGTGGAGAGGGATGCCTTGTCGGTACGTCAATACTGCAGCCAAAGTTATGATGTATAGATTTGCCAGTGTGACAGCTGGTCAGCATGTGAGGTTTGTTTGTTTTGTTTGTTGTTTATCGCCATACTCAGCAGTAGTACTATTCCAGCTATATGACGGCGGTCTGTAAATAATCGAGTCTGGACCAGACAATCCAGTGATTGACATCATGAACATCGATCCACGCAATTGGTATACTATGACATGCACCAACCAAGTCAGCGAGCCTGACCACCCGATCCCGTTAGTCGCCTGTTCCGACAAGCATAGTCGCCTTTTACGGCGATCATTGGTTGCTGGAGACCTATTCTACCCCGGGTCACATGGGAGGTAACTCGATGTGACAAGAGGCCCAGGTCTACATGATGGACTCGATTACTCTTGGTGCTAGTGACAGTGGCTGTGCTTCTGCTGAAAAACTGTTTATATTATTAGACAGGTATAAGAAGTGTTATGGGATGGCTGTTTCAGTAAAGTACAAATTTTAGTACCTTTTTGGGTTGAGTCCTATCCGGGATTCGAACTCACACTGTCAGAGTGAAGCACTTAATCGCCAACACATAAAGTCAGCGATCTCACCCAATTAACCACCGTGACGTCCACAAAAAATCGAAGTCCGACAACTGGTAGTCTAGATCACGTACTTTGTGTACCCCTCTGATAAGTGTAAATTAGCATGACTCCATGGGCAAAAGCAATGAAATCAATACAAACGAACATATTTCTTAAATATTTCAGAATCTCTGCACTTGTAAACAGCAGACGTAATTAATATTTAATTATAAGTTACAACAAAATCAGTAAAAGCGCTATCGTATCACTTGATTGTCTGGTCCATACTTGATGTCTGGTTTGTTTAAATGCGGCCATCACATAGAATGAGTACTGCTGTGCGGTATCGGGAAACAAACACATTCAATGTATACAAATTGTGGCGGAAGAGTGGCGGATGCTACCAGTAAGGCAGGCCATTCTTGCCATTTTAGCAAACTCCTGGTGCCATTACTGATGTTCACTGATCCATTCATATATGTTTCTCCGCTATTTTGCCTTTTGGGACCAGTGAAATATTTTTCGTCGGATAATCGAGACTGGTTATTCTCTGGCGTTGATGTTGTATATTTACTGTCATTTGCTTGTTTGTTTATTGACAGGTTTGACCTCGACCTTGCGATGACCGAGGTTGGTGCTAACTTATCGATGTTTGACGTCGGCCTTGCGCTGTCCATGACTGATGTTACCTTATCGATGTTTGACGTCGGCCTTGCGGTGTCCAAGACTGGTGTTACCTTATCGATGTTTGACGTTGGGCCCTGCGGTTTCCATGACTGCTGTTACCTTATCGATGTTTGACGTTGGGCCTTGCGCTGTCCAAGACTGGTGTTACCTTATCGATGTTTGACGTTGGGCCCTGCGCTGTCCATGACTGCTGTTACCTTATCGATATTTGACGTCGGCACTGCGGTGTCCAAGGCTACTGTTACCTTATCGATGTTTGACGTTGGGCCTTGCGCTGTCCAAGACTGGTGTTACCGTATCGATGTTTGACGTTGGGCCTTGCGGTTTCCATGACTGATGTTACCTTATCAATGTTTGACGTTGGGCCTTGCGGTGTCCATGACTGCTGTCACCTTATCGATGTTTGACGTTGAGCCTTGCGCTGTCCAAGACTGGTGTTACCTTATCGATGTTTGACCTCGGCCTTGCGATGTCCGAGACTGCTGTTTCCTAATCGATGTTTGACGTCGACCTTGCGGTGTCCATGACTGCTGTTACTTTATCGATGTTTGACGTCGGCCTTGCGGTGTCCAAGGCAGCTGTTAACTTATCGATGTTTGACGTCGGCCTTGCGGTGACCGAGATTCGTGCTAACTTATTAATGCTGTTGACAGGTCGATGTTTGACGTCGGCCTTGCGGTTTTCTGAGCGTTACCTTATCGGGGTTGGTGTTACCGTATCGACCCTTTTGTAGTATGGTGTGTAGGGTCCTTAAATTTTGATCATGAAGATTGGGAACCAATCCAGTTGAAGCGGATAGTTTTTCGTTTAAGTTGACATGATCTAGCTTAAGGCGAATAAACCTGTCCCTATGGTTCACGTGTTTCACGGACTGTATGCCTCTGATTACAGGTGGTTTTGTAAGGTAAGGTTATTTCGCAGGGGTTTCAAGATGATGGCAACATTTGGTGTTAATTTTATCAGGAGTGAGCTGGGTTTTTAACCATCCTACACATCATCAATACTTCCGACTGTCTTGTATACACCACATTCCTCAACCATCCCACACATTCTCAATACTTTACAGTTTTGTACACACCACATTCCTCAACCATCCCACACATTGTCAATACTTCACAGTCTTGTATACACCACATACCTCAACCATCCCACACATTGTCAATACTTTACAAATTGTATACACCACATTCCTCAACCATCCCACACATTGTCAATACTTCACAGTCTTGTATACACCACATTCCTCAACCATCCCACACATTGTCAATACTTCACAGTCTTCTATACACCACATTCCTCAACCATCCCACAATCTTCAATACTTCACAGCCTGTATACACCACATTGCTCAACCATCCCAAACATTGTCAATACTTCACAGTCTTGTATACACGACATTCCTCAACCATCCCACAATCTTCAATACTTCACAGTCTTGTATACACTACATTCCTCAACCATCCCACACATTGTCAATACTTCACAGTCTTGTATACACTACATTCCTCAACCATCCCACACATTGTGAATACTTCACAGTCTTGTATACACCACATTCCTCAACCATCCCACACATTGTCAATACTTTACAGTCTTGTATACATCACATTCCTCAACCATCCAACACATTGTCAATACTTCACAGCCTGTATACACCACATTGCTCAACCATCCCAAACATTGTCAATACTTCACAGTCTTGTATA